AAACCGTAGGCAGATATATATCGTCAAATAGAACTGCCCGGTAAACCGTAGGCAGAGAGGGAGAAGAGGACAACAAACGAGGGGCTGTGACAAACTGTTTCGTCGGAGTTTCACCGACTCATCTGGAGGCTATATATATCGTCACAAACAGAACTGCCCGGTAAACCGTAGGCAGAGAGAGAGAAGAGGACAACAAACGAGGGGCTGTGACAAACTGTTTCGTCGGTGAAACAAACTGTTTCGTCGGAGTTTCACCGACTCATCAGGAGGCTGAACCCTATATATATATATATATATATATATCGTCAAATAGAATATATATATGTGTGTGTGAGAGAGAGAGAGAGACTTACAATGAAGTTGTGGTAGATCGATGCTCGTGGAAGATATGACAATTGCTCAATCCGAATGCCCTCTAACTTTTGTTTTGCGAATCTTGCGAAAATAGGTGCTTTGATATTCTCCAATGAAGATTCCTTGTGTACAGTTGCCCTGTCTGATCTGAAATCTTCTCCACTTGTTTCCTCTCTTATGGCATGGAGAAGATCAAGCCTGCAAGATAGCCAGAAAAATCAACTGTAATTATGTCTGTATGTGGACTGAAAATTGCACTACATGCAGCCGTAATGTTTAGTTTAGCTGTAATTGATTGTGACACTCTTACCCAACATGCAAGATGAAAGTTAGAGTATAGCCAAGTACAAGAAGTGCATGAATGGTTGCAACCCCGCCCCGGCACCGGTTTTGACCACCGCCACGCGGTCCTCCTCAGGGGTAAAAATCACCACCAACTTCAACCCTCCGTCAAACTCCTACTTCCCACAACTCCCACCTCCGTCGTCGACCTGCTCCCATCTCCAGAAATGACAGCAGAGAACTCACCATAGGCCCCGGAAAGATGTATGGCAGAGCAATCATCAGTTTTATAGGTCCGCCCTACGCTACTCATCACATTTCTGCTTCGAACAAAACTCGAGTACCATTGTAGATGAACGTCCGACCAGTGTGTGTCAGTCCTAAGTCACCGGTTCGAAACTCCTAAAGCACACACACGGAAAAACCAGACCGACTGAACTCCAAAACCAAATTACAGTCTCAGCGCCCAGGTTCGAGACCCGTCTCGGACTGTGATCACACCCGAAAACATAGTGTTGCTTGTCCAAGGGTAGAATTTCTTGTCCAAGGGTAGCATTGCTTGGCCAAGGGTAACATTTTTGGCCAAGGGCTTATAATTCAAATCACTCATTTGAAGTTTTTTTCCCTTTAAGAATCCCCAGAATCTGGCAAGGAAAGCTGCACGGATACATCCACAAAATTTTAAGTGACAAATAAACTATGAGTTTGAGTGAATATGCCCTCAATGTGTTGCACACATTCCCTTGTGTTTCATTTCCTTTCAATTCTTTCTGGAAATGAGAGTTGCAGAAAATGTCGCTGAGAGATGCAACAGACCATGGAATCATCTTTCGAAAAAAAAAAAAAAACTTGAAATCATAAATCTTCTTACATAGGAGGTGAAAGAAGGCAGAAAACAAAAAGAGGGGACAGGACTGTGGGGGCAAAGTACTCACCAATCCATTCACACTTCCCAACAGCTATACCGTCACACTGTACCTGCGTGATGGCGGAATTGTACACACTAAGTATTACATAAATCCTAAGTCTCCAATTAAGTGGGCTTATTAGAGAATCCTCTTCCTATCTAACGTATATATAGCTTCGCTAGCCTACCTCTCTCTGGTGTCGATCGAGGCGCGTTAGCAGAATTTCCCAAGTGCTTTGGTTCCGTCGATTTCAGGTCGGGGAAACTACTTATCGACAAATGTCATTATTATTACATCGACCTCAGCGGTGAAGTGCAGTATCTCCTCCCACCCCCGACATCCCGTACTAAGGAACTGCGATGCCAGCCCCAACCCTTGACTACGTACTTGGAGGATGACCAGCCCTACGTCATAATCTGTTATCAAACACAGGACCTCATGTGAATCGTGCAAATGACCTAACCCATTGACATACACTGAAATAGTATGCAGCTGTGCTCTGCTGGGCTCGAGTAAACCAGACAGTACAAACCACCCAGCAGTCTCGTGACCACCCCATAGACCAAGAACATCAGGATACCCCACCATCGCCCAGTCCCAACATACAACAACCATGGGCTACTCCTTGGGAGGTACACAGGCAGTGTCTGTAATCGCTTACCTGTGTCATCCCAAGGGGGTGTGTGTCCAGCCGTGCGTCACTCTAACGCCCTGCCGGTGTCCATGCACAAGGTTGCAATTGAGTTTTGAACCCACAACCTTATACCACAATGCGCATTTTGAGCCGGTGATCTAACCACTGAGAAACACCAACTGGACAGAGGTAGCGCTCCAGGTGTCGCGTGGAGACCTTGTGGAGCGAGTTTGGCATAGCGCGCTCAGTGGCCTTGCTTAGCACTATGAGATCATCTGATTCTGCAGGTTGTGCGGCAGGGGGAGGTTCATGGCAATCTTGGTGTTGAGTTCAGATCCTGCGGCATTTGTTGGATTTGGCGACTTCGCACGCCGACTGAGAGGGCTCCCTAATTTTTATGGTCGGTGCTTTCCTGTTAGTGGAGCCTTTTGCATTATGGTGCAATTATTTCTTTTTGTGTTTTGTGTGATTGTCGTTCGGTAAGTGCGTTGCCTTATGCCCTCCATCCTTTTTATAGATTATAATATACTTGTGAAAGTATGCCGCTCTGGCGGCAGACGGGTGTGTGGGAACTGGGCGCTTAAGCACACAGAAGTGGCCAACCTTGCATCTTCTACTATACTGTCTCTCTATACCTTTTTGTCTTACGGATGATTCGTCGATGGAATGAGAGAGAATGTTTTTTTTTTCAAAACATGCACACACGCACGCGCAGGCACACACACACACACACACACACACACA